TGGTGCAGGTATATGCCGGTCTCCGATATGTGGAGGAGCACGGTTTGAACACGCCCTAGTAGTTATACTACAGACATCTGCATATTCTTTGATTTGACGACTGACACTTTCACTAACACACATAATTCACACAGGTATGTAGCATATTGTTAAATTCAATAAAAGAGTATCACATTGGTGTCGTTGCAAAATTTATTAACGTTATTATCATCACGCAAACATGTATTAAAGTCATCGGTAATTCCATAAAAATCAAATAGTTGTACAAGTAGAAGTCTTGTATCTGTGTTCCGCCGACATTATAATGTTTAAGAGTAGCAATGGATTTTAATTTCAAAAAGGGTCTCGCGTGGATATATTTGATATGAGTATACACATATTCTGCTTTTCCATCCCACTATAATATTTCAATAAAAAAGAAGATTGTCAGCGGTGATTGGATTGTCTATTACACATTTAATTGGACATAGATATTTTTATATTAGAAACTGAGTGGTTAGCAACTGAAACAGCCAATGCAATACATCTCACTGACTCTATCAACCCACCCGGCTGCTTGCGTATTTCATTCTACCCGGAAGATTGTTACTTCTTCAATTCCCCCTTCTCTCCTACTTCCTCCAATTCCCTTCTTTTCTTCTTCTTTTTTTTGTTCCATTTCCTTCTTCCAGTCTACCATCCCATCAATTATTTCCAAGTACGCCTAATCAAACGATGTTATGCGAGAGTTCATTTTGTTCTTGATTGATTATTTCATTCATTCATTCATTCATTCATTCATTCATTCATTCATTCATTCATTCATTCATTCATTCATTCATTCATGCATTCATTCATTCATTCATTCATTCAGGATCAACTCCATCGCATAGTCGTGAATTAATTGACAGGACATGTGTGACAATATACTAGTAGGCAAAAAGCTCATAAACCACAATGTTAAAAACTCATGTCAGGACAAGTCTGTTTCAGTTGAGCATTCAGAGCATGATTTGCCAGAAAGCGTGAATTTACAATCGGAATGAACCGTTTAACTGAATCTCACATCAAATGGGGACTAAAGTAACCAAACTACATTTATAAGTTTGTAAGTTGCATAATAGTTATTCTATTTTCAATGATTTTTACTTTGAAAATTACTCGTGCCTCCATACAGAATACGTTACACTAATTCCTCGATTGTAGACTGTACCCACCTCAGTAAAAATGGCCCACTCCTCAGTTTCAATAACTAGATTTGAATCGTACACCCCAAAGTTCCCGCGGACAGCCATATCGCAGCCGGCAAGTCACATAAGAAGCTCAAAAACACGTTCTATTAGTGGCACGGGTGTTTAGAACAAATGATTGCATTGTTGTACGTCATATGTTGAGGTAATATTGGGACTGTTTTCAAATTACTTAATATATATGGGCAACCGCGACTGACGTACATTACCTTACTACTGCATCCTGAACGTTCGATGAACGCTAAGCGCAGAATTACTGGGTTACATGATTTGCATTGGGTGTATAGGTATAGTGGCTACGACGGACATTGGTTTGGAGTCCTCGGGTATTTTTATGTGTTCCTTCGTCCTGTTTAGTATGTTGGATTCGCCTGGCTTCGTTCAAATTATCACCAACGCTCGAAGCGAGAACTGCATTGCATTTAGTTTGTTTTAAAGATGCAAAACGGACGAATGTATATATAGTTTTAATATTGTTGTTCAATACTCCATACTGCAGACTTAATCAGATTATGATTTATCATGAACTAAAAATGTTGCGAGACCAGTTCCATAGTTAAGCCGGTGTTGAAATATGTACGAACAAGATAAGCCGGTGCCATGCCGAGTTCTTTTAAGACGTTCTAAAATGGTCTCAACCGGCACCCCGTACTTACAGAAATGGTTTTAGCACGTGTAAACAATAACGCCGCCTAAAAGTACGCCCTCATTGCAAGCCTTGCTGTGTATTTCCATTCATTGCAAATATTTTAAAGAAACATGCAGCGAAGAAAATTATAGGACACACTTAAATATACGTTGTCTATATACCATCGGTTGAATAAATGAACCTTGACCAGCGAAGATGTAACAACGCCGGCTCAGGTTAGTTTTTATACACGTATGAACACAGGACGAATTAAAACCACTGATAACGATTTTTTACCAACTTTATAGTAAATCCGAGCCTGTGACACACGTGTGAACATAGTATGATATTATCATATCGGAGAATGTTTTAAAAACAACAGTAGGCGTAGGCGTGTGGTAAACATTTGCCTCCCCGTTCCACCCTTCTTCCCAAAGTGTGCATAGTAGTAGGGCTTCTAGAAAGGAGAGTGTCCCGCACTCCAAGAGGCCAGGGATGTGAGCACACGGTCTCCCGAACTGTCATCCACTTTTATATTCCATTTTCAGCCAACACATTCCACAAAACTTGTCAAATTGATCAAATAGTATTACGGTGAAGCACATTCCCTCAAGGGACTGTGGGTGAAATAAAGTGAACGCATTTCAAATAATGGAGTTACAAATCACATTCTTTATTATCGGCTACACGCAACACAATGGCATAAATAATACTAGAAAGTAGCGTTTACTCAAACAGTCAGTGGACTGTAAAACATCAATGAAATTACAATGAAGTAGGATATTCTTCAACGTCGCCATAAGCATTTTGAACAACCACCACCCATGTAGAAACCACAGTCTGTGAAATAAATGAAAACAAACAAACAAGACATACTGAACTAGCGGTTACAACAAACGAATAGCGAGTTTATCTTTAGTTTTAATTTTGCCAATTCGTCGAGGTCTTCAATTTTACTTTTTATAGCATGTTTAATGTTTCTGTTTGTTTTCATGACTATTACTAGTATTTGGAACACTTTCGATTATTTTACCGATTGACCAATGAATTAAAAAAAAATTCTTATACCATTACCAATTCTTCGCTGTTATAGTGTGTGCAATGCCTCGTCGTTACAACCGTCCGAACTAATGTTTTATTTGTATACTTACTTAAATGATCACATATATATCCTTTGCTGTTACTGCAATCGGAAGTGCTCCATGTATCGCCTCTGAAAAGAGAGACGTACTATGTTAATTTACAATTGTAAATAGATGAATGTAATTTCGCAGTTACACAATACAGTTAAGGTAAATTCAATATAAGAAAACGTATACTGTATACGCCAGCTGAAGTTCAGTATGACCCGCACAATTTTATCCACCACAGAACTCAATTGTTTTCCAAACTTGAAGCATACCATATCACATTTATTGAACGGAAGTGGTAGTAGTAGTTATGTTGTCGTTTTCGAAATAGACGTAGGTAAATCAGAACATATGACATATCATACTATATACCCGGCAAATAAATTGCATGCTTAGTTCATTACGAGGGGTAGGGTTTACACAAACTTACATTATCTGAACACACGGGTATTGTAAATTAGGCTCATTCACATCCCAATGTCGATAGTCTGTAAGGGGTTCCAATATATCTCCGTCAATGTACGTCCAAATATCAACCTCGTTTTCTTTTTCATGCAACCCCGTCCAGAACCCATCCGTATACGAGGCGAGGTTAGGGTTAGTGTCCGCCTCGGTTTGCAACGTGCTGTCTACAGCCGATGATGCCATCTTCAGAAGCATTGCGCCATCAGCGGCACAGTTCTGTTTCGCCGTGTCCCAA